TATAGTAGTGATATAAATATAACAATCTTCATATAATAGTGATATAAATATAACAATCTTCATATAGTAGTGATATAAATATAGGAATATTCATATAGTAGTGATATAAATATAACAATCTTCATATAGTAGTGGTATAAATATAACAATCTTCATATAGTAGTGGTATAAATATAACAATCTTCATATAGTAGTGGTATAAATATAACAATCTTCATATCTATATGTCACCTTTTCTGACATACAGTTGTAGTGGTTTGATATAACATATAAAGAGAACGTGAACTGATAACAAGATCACTGAAATTGGAAAGTACAATTTTAAAGAAACATACAAAAAGACGTTGGTCATAGGTTTCGCTTATCCTAAAGAAATCTATACATTTTTTCAGTAGATACGTTGACCATGCGTGTACATTACCAGAAATCAAAAAATTACATAAATCCAAGTTGTCTTTGTGAAGTTTTATCCCCAACATGCACTTTTCTTTACCGACTAGAGTAGTTTATGTCTTTACTGTAGAATTTATTAACGTAATTTCTAATTAGACACTCATCTACGCTATGTTCCAGCCAATTACATATCCAGACGTTCTTAACTATTGCTTTTATACCACATTTTCACCACACGCCTACGTACCTTCTTAGAATAACTACATAGCATTCCTGCCCCAAAAAATAAAGATAGTTATTGACTAATGTCATATCTGAAAGTAACAAATCACCACACGAACCAGTGGAAAATTATGAGGCAAGTATTAAAAGTCAACGACGGTCAGATAAATGTAAAAACCAATATTTGAATATCAAAAATGAAATCCCACTGTAAAAGTAAAACTGACCCAATTGATACTAACTTGGAAAATGTTTAGTTAGTATCACAGGATACCAGAAGATATTAACCATAGGTTTAAAAAATTAAAATCAAAATTCAAACATTTTTTTTATTTGTATCGGGTAGAAGCTTTGAAATAACATTAAAATCTTAGTTTTTTGATACACAAAAGGAGCAAACAAAAACTACTACATTTTACCTTTGGTATAACTGATTCTAGGGTTAACTCTTTACCTCTGGTTCAGTATTTTGATATTCTGTTCCGGCTTATTCTATGGTTAACTCTTCATCTCTGGGTCAGTAAATTGACATTCTGTATAACTGATTCCAGGATTAACTCTTTACCTCTGGTTCGGCATTTTGATATTCTGTTCCGGCTGATTCTATGGTTAACTCTTCATCTCTGGGTCAGTAAATTGACATTCTGTATAACTGATTCCAGGATTAACTCTTTACCTCTGGTTCAGTATTTTGATATTCTGTTCCGGCTGATTCTATGGTTAACTCTTCATCTCTGGATCAGTAAATCAACATTACTTTCCAGTTGATTCCAAGCCTAAACTTACATTACAAGGACAGTACTTTGATTCCAGAGTTAACTCTTCACCTCTAGGTCAGTAAATCAACATTACTTTCCAGTTAATTCCAAGCCTAAACTTACATTACAAGGACAGTACTTTGATTCCACAGTTAACTCTTCACCTCTAGGTCAGTAAATCGTCATTATTTTCCAGTTGATTCCTAGCCTAAACTTACATTACAAGGACAGTACTTTGATTCCAGAGTTAACTCTTCACCTCTAGGTCAGTAAATCAACATTACTTTCCAGTTGATTCCAAGCCTAAACTTACATTACAAGGACAGTACTTTGATTCCAGGGTTAACTCTTCACCTCTAGGTCAGTAAATCGTCATTCTTTTCCAGTTGATTCCAAGCCTAAACTTACATTACAAGGACAGTACTTTGATTCCAGAGTTAACTCTTCACCTCTAGGTCAGTAAATCAACATTACTTTCCAGTTGATTCCAAGTCTGAACTTAC